GGCTCACTTATTATGACCCTCATGTTTCCATGTTGATATCTTTTTCCTTTTTAACATTTATGAATTATACTCTATTTTTTTGTATGTTTACTAATCTTAACCTAAAATATATATCAAAAGGAACCAATTTGCAACTTCCAGGTTAGAACAAAAGAGATCCTCAATGCAAAAATTACGATAAATGTTCTTAGACTATTCTATTAATTGTTGATGTATTTAAACAGGTTTTCCTGCAATAGTACTATTTCTAAGGACTTTTGGACTAAAGATTCCAACGTTCTATAGGATTCCATCGCATTCTATTGGACTCCATTCGATTCCATCGGATACCATTCGATTCCCTTGGATTCCATTCGATTCCCTTGGATTCCATTGGATTCCATTGGATTCTATCGGATTCCATTGGATTCCATTGGATTCCATGATTCCGTGTGATTCCATAAGATTCCACAGGATTCCAGGATTCCAGGATTTCGTTTTTTTCCCCTTGGTCGCAAATCACGAGACCTGCAACAGTTTTTATCTTAGTATATAACCAAGATCTTACAGATCTATACTTAAGATCTTATAAATCTGTACTTAAGATCTTATGAATCTGTACCCAAGATCTTACATATCTGTACCCAAGATCTAGTCACAGATCTTAAGTACAAGATAATGTGATTATCTTGTACCTAAATTTTCAAGATCTACTAACATTTCTGTACCCAAGATCTTGACCAAGATCTTGCTTACAAGATGTTCGACTAGGGTAGATTCCTTTAATGTAAATAGTTGATTTTGTATTCATTTCACCTGTTCGATTTGTATTCAAAAAGTCTTTATTTCGTTTTTCTTATGAGAAACAGTGTTTCTAATACCGTTCGACTCAATTTATCCGAAACTACTACTATGCCATTAATTTGCAACATAGCTAGATCATTTTTCTATAATTCGATTCGATAGGCGTTTCTCTGTTCTATTATGTAAAAAAGCAAACTCATAAATTCCTTTAAAGATTGTTCGTATCACTCTTCCGTCTCATACGAGTATCTTTTTATTTTATTGGTGTAAAGTTGTTACTTAGAACAAAGTGACCAATCGAAATCAGGAAAACTAAGACATCAACGTTCAAGTTCGAGAGGAGCTTCGGTGAGAAACTATAGGATCAGAATTCAGCGACGAACATGTAAACATAAAAGATCTATTCACAAACATTATGTTTTTGTGAATACAAACAATATTGAATAGTTTGACTTCTACTGCATATTTTTGAACGTCTGGAAATAACTAATACCATATCCTAAGATCATGACATCGTCTTAACATGTAAGATTTGCAAAAACAGTTCATAGTAGACATAATATTCTATTCTCAAGTCAAGCAGAGTATAGGTGAATGTAGGTTGTCGTTCTACTCTTCACTCCTACCCATTCATGCTCACATTCAACAGCGATACGTGAACACTCTTCATTTTAAGAAACTTTCAAACTAATACAAGAAAATGGTTTTTGACATTTTATGATCAAGCCATTCATTAATGATTTTTGCATTTATTAGTTCAAGAAGTTTTTGCGGTTGTTGGATCATTTACAAATTCACATTCATATGCTTTCATTATGTTCTCTCGACTTTTTTTAATAGTATCCATTTGTACTCGAACTATAGGAATTTTATAGATTGTCTGAATCGATGAATGGATGTCGTTCACATTCCTTTGCTTTTGATTTATCTCTAAGTTCGCTAAAGATTCTTGATATCTAATCATCAATTCTCTAAGTCGTTCTACTAATTTTAAGTTCATGTCATTCGGTGTTTTACTGTGATAGAGATCATTTTCATCACTAATCATTTGTACCATACCAATTAAAAATGGATCATCCTTCGATGAGTGAGCAATATGTATAAGAAAATAAGCAAATTCAATACTCGCATGAAGCAATATTTGCAGGCTGCTCTTCATTTCATCCTGAGTATAATTTGAACATCTTTCTGCATGTTTGCAGTCAAGTTTATAATCAATCCTACTATGTTGATCGGAAGAGCATGAACAAGAGTAACATGTGTTTCGGATTTCATGTAGAGAATCTTTTATTATCCAAAGTTTACCCAGTTGGATAACATCACGTTGACATGTGTAACAAACAGCAGCTGAACGATGAAGAACAATTGGATTTAGTTCGATCGATTTGTTCGATGGATCCATCTTTAATACGATTAAATTTCGAAGAATATTTCGCATTGCTTCTAATATAGGACGAATCATAGAATTAATTTGAAGTTGAATTTGTTTGATTGATTTTTGTTCATTTTTTATAGCATGAATCCTTAGTTCTTTACAAACATAATCAATAAGACGATTAGATTCTTTAACTGATATTGACCAACTGTCTTTATAATCATGTTCTTCATCATTATTGAACACAATTCCATTTTGTAAAGCAGCTAAATAACGAAATGATTCATTACCAAAGTAGAATGTATTCTGTTTTATGAATGGAATGTCATTAAGTGAAAATGACTGGAGAATGAATTTGAGTAATGGAGCTGTATTACCAGGACTGTAAAATGTTGATCGTGCGTTAGTAAAACAAAAGATAATGTTTTGACGTGCATGTGCACCGAGAAGATCGAGCAGTTGAGTAAGACATCTTATGAGAAAACTGTGAATATGTGATGCATTTGGTTTGAGAAGGAAACATACAGCATCTAGGGTATGGGTGTGGGTGTGCGGTGTGGCTATGGGTGTGAGTTCGCGTTTTGTGTTCACCCACACTCACACCCTATATACAATTCGATGCAATTTCATCTCACCTTTTTGAACACTGAAAAATGCAGATCTCTATCAAAAATACTCGTCCTTCTTTTATTTTCAAATGGATAATAGATAACTTTTTCGTTAGCCAACAGCTGTTTATCAAACTCAACTTTTAACTGGCAATCACTAAACTTTCGAAGCTTTCTTAGTTCTGTGAAATTTTGAAATAAAAAAAATGCATAAAATGACAGTAGAGAACGTGATGATAAGAAACTAGACAAGAACTTGCTTGAAAACTGACAATAGTCATCGAAAAAATTTTCAAAAATCTAGTGTCTACTTTTATGTTCCTGTAGTAGTGGCTTAGTCGATCGACCTACACCTCTGTTGACAATATACTTCTTTTGTTAAAATATAATGGAGCGAATATTTTGTTATGAAATCAAATAAAATATCTCTTCGAAAATTTCCTATTGAATCATAGATAGAAATCGAGAAGAAAAAAAAAGTTTTGATTAATATTGTTAAGTTAATAAGCACGATAGTATGATAGATAGCGTGCGTTATCAAATTAAAATAGAATTAGAAATTTTCGGGTTAGTCAATTAATAATCTATCCAAACAAATATATGTTTGATTGAATTTTTTATTGAAGAATCATATAAATAATATCCTGAATTTGAAAAATATGTAATATATACAAAAAATTTATAAAATCATTAACTAAGAAACAAACTATGCTTCAAATTGAATAGATCAATTGATTGAGCATTGAATTATGCCATTAGAAAACAATGACAAAAATAATTATATAAAGCTCGTTGTCATTTATAATTATAAGTATTCGAGTTCCAGAGAGCACATGCTGATACATATCTTTATTTATATAAACAAACTGATTTTTGTTTCAATTACGGAAAAGGATAAATCGATTGCACTGATTATTCTTCGACTTTTGCATGTCACTCGTTATAAAAAAAAACCAAGGAAAATTCAACATAGTTCATTTGTACAAATCATCGAAGTTTGTTTTTTTTTGTCTTGGTCTTCACAAAAAAATAATAACAGGATTTCTCTTCTCATATTTATGCAACAGCTCATCACTAATGGTGAAAGATAGAGAAAACCTAGTATTTTAGCTTATTTATATACTACTAGTCTATTGACATACATTCATATGCGTTTTTTTTGTTTGTGACTGCTATTTTTCATAATTGGCAGCTTCTATATCTTTTTTTTTATTTGCCTACTGCAATCAATCGGTCAGCCTCATCAGTACGAATGACAAACAACATGACAATACTAAAAAAATGTTGATTGGATAAAGCAACTCGTTGGATTCTTTCTTTCTTTTTCTGAACTTAACTAACATACTACTAACAATAAGTTATTCTCAAGAAATAGTCATTGATGATCAACAGAAATACAGTAATAGCGGAAGTCATGTTGTCTTTTTCTTCCCTAACAATTAGTAGTTATAATAGTATACTATATTTGCGAGTTTTTTTTTACAGAATCATCCCATCGCTAGAATATACTGGTGCATAGTTAGCAATTAATTGAGTGATTGCATGAAGCAGAAAAAGAATGGTTTAGAAGGAAAGAAGAAATTAGATAACAATGTTGTGAGATGCAGAAACAACAACAAGAAAAAGAAAATATAGTCTATATTTATTATCATCAACATTTTCTTCCTCTCTTTTTTTAGATCAATGAGTTGAATTGAAATGAATGAGCACCAAATCATTTCGTTCATGTTTTATTTTATTATTCAATTTAATTATTTTTAATAATTATATAAATGCTGATCAACATAAAATTATTCTTAATAGTTTATTTACACAATCATCTTATCCATCAATTAATTTTGCTCTCAAACAAATTAGATCATTACAGATGGATATTGTATTTGAACTTAATACAACAGAAGATATTATTATTCCTGTAGGTTATTTTCAAAAAATAATAAATCTTTTTTTTTATTTCTTTTCATTCTAGTGTGATGTTGGTACAACTGTAAAAATACTTTTTAATATAATTAATCGAACAAATTTATTGAATGTTTTAATAAGTGATGCTTGTCAAAGTGTACTTAGTTATATAGCTGAAGCAGCAACTTATTTCCATATACCAGTTATATGTATTCCATTCAAAAACAAACTAAAAGAATACTTCTCTTTGATGAAATCGATTATTTTAGTTTTCATTTACTGAAAGTGATTTATCTTTATCATCTATTGATTGTTATCCATTTTTTTATCATATTGTGCCATCAGATCGTGGTCATAATTTAGTACGTAAACAACTTTTACAATATTTTAATTGGACACGATTTGGTTTAATTTATCAACATGGATCAAAATATACATGGGTTAGTTAATATAGTTTAATCTTATTCGTAGAAAATTTCTATTAATATGACAACCAAAAGAAAGAAAAGATAATTAAGTCAATAGAACAGAAAAATCGAGAGATACATTTTTTTTTTGTTTCACTTGAATGATTTGTTCATTTATTTATCAGACTTGTTGATGTTTAAAATTCTATAGGGAATTTGAATAAATTTTGACTTTGCTCTTTTCACTTTCATCTCTAGAGAATTTCAATTAATACAATGTTTTTGTTATATTATGTGTATAAAGAAAAATTTTTAATATAATAAATGAATTGAAGTACTTCCGTTGTATCCTAAAGAAAAAACATACATTAGTCTTTCTTACAAATTAATGATAACAAAAAACGTCAGATACTTAAATTGAATTATTCAATGGTTAATATATTGCAAATCTCTCGAGTATTAATGTTGCTTGAAAATAACAAAGTCAAGGTTTCTATATATAAGAAAGTTTATTTAGAACTAGATCAAAACTTCCGCCATTGTAATTTTCTATTACAAAATATAGATTATTTGTGTTTGTTTGTTTAGGTAGCTAATGATTTATCCAATTTAACTGCTATTGATAAAAAACAATGGGAAGTTAATTTAACACGAGGTATAGCTTATCGTCATGAATTAGAATGGCATGATGATAATGCAAAAAATATGAAAGGATTACTCAATGATTTTGAAGTAATAAAAAACAACAACAACAACAGCAACTTTTTTTTGAATAAAATTTTCATTTTTGTTGATAGACAAGAGATGTTCGAATCATTATTGCAAATTTTAATCAAACAATTGCAACTCATATGTTTTGTCATGTAAATCATTTTTTTTGGTTTTGTTTCGAAATTTAATTAATTTTAAAATTAGGCTGCAAAAGAATATATTTATGGATCACGCTATCAATGAATTATACTTGGTTATCCATCATTTTTAGCATGGTGGAATGAACAAACTGATTGTTCACGACAAGAATTAATTCGAGCAATCAATGGAACTTTACAAACGCGCATACCACATTTATCTATTTATGATATAAATGTATGATGAAAAAAGTATTGTAAAATTATTTTCCTTTTTCTTTTGTTTTATAGGAACAACCAAGTTATGTATTAGATTATTTAGAACAATTTTCTAAATTCGAAAGAAATTATTTTGATGCTTACGCATATGATACAATATGGAGTTTAGCATATCTTTATCAATCGAAATTTTTATCTAATGAAACAAATCTTAAAACTCTTGTAGATAATTAATATTGATTTTAATGGTGCTACAGTAAGAATTACAAAAAAAAAATATTTTTTTTGTTTCAATTGAATATTTTAGGAAAGAGTCAGGTATTTGAATCAGAGTTGTAACCGGCCCGGCGAAACCGGACCGGTTGAAGGAGTTTCACCGGCCGGTTTTCACCGGTTGAAATATATTTTATGAATAAACAGATTTTTCAGATAAAAGTTGTTGATTACAAGTTTTTATGTCCTTATCAAAGTAACTAACCTGTTTATTTCAAAAACAATCCATTTTTTTTTCTGTTCCTCAATCTATTTCTTTTCTTTAATCGATATGCGCTTTATTTCTTAAAAAGTACTTTCGAAACTGTATTAGTCCAGTTGAACTTATCTCATACATTTTTTGTGAAGATAAAATTTGGGTTCGAGCCATCGTCGAGAAAGAAGCGTTGCGTTATTTGTAAAGGTTAAGTGAATAAAACTTCATTCTCTAAATGTATGAACCATTTCTTTTAAATTAACTTCTACCTATACCTTTAAATTATAAGAGAATACTTAAAAAACAGGGCAAAAAACGTTCAAGATTAGGCCTTTTCGAATGAGTGATATTTTGACTTTTTGTTACATTGATTGTTCTCCTTTAAAATTGATTAAAATTTTTTTTTAAATTAGCTATTTTCTCCTAGGTGAAAATCTATAAGCAACTAGAATGAAAGTTCGTCCCTAATGTCACTTTTATCTTATGAATAAACTTCATAAACTCGCCGGTTTTTACAGGTCTGGAATTATTTTTTAGACCGGTTACAACTCTGATTTGAATGGTCGACGAGTTGGTGAAATTCTTGTTGAACAATATGTTGGTAAGAATAAATCATTGAAAAACACACATACCGAATCATTAAACCAAACAAATTTTAGCTTGTCAAATGATGAATGATGGTTTATGTAAAAGAGTATGGGTGTGGGTGTGGCTACAGGCAAGTGACAGACCCACACCCCACACTCACACCCTCACACCCACACTAACTTTATGCTGTTCACTGCACAAATTTCAATAAAAACGAGAGTTTTTCTTTCGTTTATATGGTGAAAACATTTTCATATGAATAAGAGAACAATCGATACCGCTTTTATCACTTTATTAGAGGCGGTTCGTTATCTATTCATAACATCATCAGTCAGAGAAAGGAAATCAATATACAAGACAAGAAA